TCATCCTACTCCCTACTTGCCTTCATTGATTAAATCTTATTTTCTGACTTAATTAGACATGACAATTCGTTCGTATACAAGGTGATTATCGCGTATTATTATTAGCACGATCTTAATTGCGTCATGAAATATTTTTTTAAATTTTTGAGATAACAAATTTGAACTTAAATTTAATATAGCGCCACCTAGCGTTCAAAAACAACACAATACATAGACTTTTCTGGTCAACTGGTTATAGGCTTTAATATGCGCCGACACGTGCGCAATGGACGCATTAAATTTTTTCGACTGGCGGCACACCGGGCAGTACGTATTGCATTTGCTTGTACCAGTCCAAGTTTGTAGCAGAGCGATTACTAATACCCAAATAACAATACAATAAAACATTAGGGAGTTGTATCTAATACCACGTGTCGAATACGAGCTATTCAACACGGCTTTCATCCGCCCGTACATCTGACGCGGATTTACTTATTTAATTCGCCACTATTGGTGTACTTGACACCAGTACTAGAACACACCGTGACGATTCACGACTCGCACTCGGATTGGATAATTTGGTAAAAACTCGAAAACCCCACGATGTCCCCCGTGTTCACGATAAAATAAATCCAAGTTGCTACATATAGAGGCATCTTAGGCGTTTTCATTGGTATTGGGGGGTACGGATTTTTTCGAACATTTTATTCACGTACACGTGATGAAAATTATTGTGTTTATATATCATTTTATTCAGTATTCAGTCCTCAAATGTTGCGTTTGTCTTAACCCACGACAAAATTGTTATTTTCACTAAACCCTCTAGCCCACCTGTTTTAAAACAGAAAACCAAGCACAAGCCGATGCGAGTCTAGTACAAATTTGAAGTCGTAAATTATGCATATACAATCTGTTTAATGACGCATGTATTCATTTCGTGGTCGGTGATGTATTTTGATGTACATACAGCGTCAAATGCACATGCTCCCTAGAGTACGTACAAATAATTCAAAACGCATGCGTAGTTGAATTCTGCATTAAAATACTTCCATTGCAGTGTGTGCCCTGCCAAAACGACAGTTGCCAAGATGCAACATTCGTTGCCAATAAATAACGCCACTACTTCTTGCACAACACTCAGCTGTGTCATACTTGCAGCCATTTTGCTACAATTTACATACATGTATATAGCCCATAACACTAATTATAACTCCATAGTCGACACCGTTAGCGATTGGGCGATCAAAATATTGTTTTAATTTGTAAAATGGATGTAAACAAAACAGATTTGTTAGGTTTTCTACCTTCAATATTCTCAGAAAAATAGCTAGTTTTGAAGTGTCTAATCGCAAATTGCCCAGATCCACAGGTCATCGATACTTGTCAATAAATGAAGCTACACCATAGTCCCTCTATCGAGGACAGAGGTACTGTGGCTGCACATACAAGTCTAACAGCTGACGTAATTGAAATACGCCCTCGTACATCGAGTTTAAAAAAAACGCGGTGAATCCCATTGGCCAACGACAACCATGTGATTTGGTTGCTGATAGCTAATTGGTGGCACGAGAACACAGTCAGCTGGTGCACACGTGATAATAAATAAATGCGATATTTACTGTATGGGGCCGCCATCTTGCGGCATAAAACTAAATAAGAGACAAGTTGTGAAACGCGTTTTCAGAAAACTACAAATCAGGACAAAAATACCAATCTTTCACAAAAATACGATCCGTTGGAGTTATATTAAGCCAACCGATTACAATATTCGACCGAATTCGGTGTTTTTGTGTGAAAAAACCCTTGCATACGAACACCTAATTACACGAAAAACCTAGAACACTAAGCCGGGGTATTTGAAACCGAAATTGTCATCTAACTGAAAGGCCGTCGCTGATTAGCTGGAATGACAATTTGTGGTTTTCAAATACAAGCGTTATACATCGCCCCAGTGGGTGCATGACCGCAATCAATTAAATCGAACATTAAAATTAGCCCAGGAACTCATTGCATGGTTAATATTCCGAAACTAGTTCAAACAGTCGTACAAGTTCATGCAAACTAGTTATCACATATGCGAACAAACGTATCGATTAAGTTGCAACTCAGCACGACAGTACCCATCCTACAATATGAATGAATCTGTCGGGATACACCGTTTACAAGCAGTTTATCAAATATGCAAATGAGCTATAAAATCACTGAAGCATGATACATAGTCCATCTTTCACAAACTCAAATTGTGTTCTTTTATTTTATGAAAAAATGATTCAATATATATGGAGAAAACTGTATGCAAATCGCATATGGAGGATTTAACAACCCATGACCCCTGCCCTGCCCTGCCTTGTCAAATGACGTGAAAAGGACCACCAGTAAACGTGAACTTAAAACGAGACATCAGGATTTATTTATTTGTTCTTGTCAATCAATGTAGCAGTCATCTGTCTCAACAGTGTTTAACAGCGTCTTCTGTCATCGAGTTACATACTGCACCTGTTGTCTCCCATAAACTCGCCCAACTATCGTCTTTCAACCAACAAGTGACATTCTGTTGTATAGTTTACGCGATTTTCAAACCATATACCGAGATTGATTTGTAGACTTTTCCATTGTCTACTCTAAATCCATATATTGATAATCGTTAATTCAAACTCAATCGTTTAAGTTGTATTTTTATCGCGGGAATTATATCGATTTTCCCCAAAAGATTGTGGCATTTTACATGCATCCTGTTCATTACAGTACTTGGATGACATACTAACCTTTATGGCAAGCGTAATTGAGTGTTCACTTACGGTAACCCTTTCAGGAATCCTGAAACCAACACGTTCAGGCAAGGCACGTGTCCGAGATCTTGAATTAACACCATACCACAGCGAAACAATGTAAAGCAGTTGAAGTACAGTTGTACCAGACGTGTTGCAGTTTCTTTTCCCGGAGAGACAACGGAGGACGACACGACTATCTGATAGGGGTTGGTTCACCACACTTCGGCTAACTTAATTTTCTACTATTTATCCTGAAACCCTATACAGTATACACCAAATCACGAATTCCACTCGTTCATAAATAGTTTAATTTTTAATGAAACGATTGGTGAATTTTCTCGATAAAAATTGCCATGCCTGGCATTAATATGTACTTGAACATATCCAGTCAGTTCGTTTAAATAATACGTTCCAACGGAGACAGTGTAATCCCAACAACTCCCAATATATATATATATAGGGTGGACAGGCTAGTGTGGTAACTCGAGGGAAGACGAATCGGGCCATTCCAGCCATAGCATTTGCGACTTCAATGCCAGCTATGCGTGAACTGTCGTGACCGGATCAGGCAAGGCATTCTCCATGTGTTGGTTGCAACAGCTGGATGACAACAAGCAGCGCCGGTCTGAGCAATAAATTGAACGATTGTTCTCGAATTGCTAATTTGTACTGTAATTTAAGATTAGTCGATAGAAATTAATAACAACTCCGCCCGGAACTCGTACGTTCCCGTTTGCGGAGGCGGTAAAAATGGAACAAGCGACAATTTCAATATATCATTACAATACTGATTATTACTATTCATTTGTGATTCTCGGATATATCTGAATGTTGCTCGGACACGCATGCAAGCAAAATACACCAAATGCAATGAACTCAACACTCAAATGTGTTCAGTTCTGAAGAATTCCACACGCAGTGAACGTATGAATATGACCCGACCCCACAGTGGTATTCGAGTCATACCCTAAAGACACTTTCAATTTACATGAACAGATTCGTCTGGCGAGACTGGGATAGGTGGGATGTTATGGACATCTGAAAACAATGATTTTACAAGAAAATACAGCTTGAAATAAAATGTTGATATACAACATGTAACATCAATGTGGAAAACCCCGATCAAATCTTGCAGTGTTAAATCCCCAACTCTGAACTTACACGGCGGGCGATGCAAAAGAATAGCCCATGATAAGATGTCTGTCATTGGCTATTGGACTAGATGTCCGAGTTAGATCATGAATATTTATTTGATCATTATAGAGCTTAGGGTCCACCTGCCATGTAGTTAATGTAAACGTTTACTGCATTCACGCATTGCGCAATAAATTTTCAGACTTGAAAAATAAAACACTGTCCCTTTTTCGCACTATTTCTTAAATCGCGTGGAATTGGCAGGCCGCTAAAATTACGAGACTTTCCCCCCCGAAAAAAAAACATGCAGACGGAAAACCCCTCTTAGTACGAATCAGTCTTCTCTGTATGAAGTCACCCCCAATAAAATGTTACGGCCTCGCATTTCATCTTGTGCCATCTCAAAAACCCAGTTAATAATTAAAAAATCAGTGTTCACTTTTCCATCCCGGGTTTCTAAATTGCATATTTCTTGTATACATTGTAAAACAAACGTCAACATGCTTTAGCAGTGATCATCCAGAGCGAACCGAGAAAGTTTCAGGTTTCCCAGAGAGTCGCCACCCGTAGCGAAACATCGAAACATAATCGTATAATTTGTTCACATCCGTCGTTTGAAAGTCACTCGTTTATCTTCAACTTCTCGTGTCGCTTGCGTGTATTTTTATTCACTACCGACACGATTCCATCACTTCCTACTAAAACCATTCTTTGCGAAAACAATAGTCCATGCAAATTGTCTGGAACCATTAAACGACGGTAATGACGGTCTCCCAATCACGACACTTGTACCATTCGACACGCGCGATAAATCACATTCTCTCGCTTCTACGATGCGGTTTTTCTGGTCGTCTGACAAACAGGGTTTGACTTCAAAAACTAACAGGGCTGTCAAATTGAACGACAATTGGGAGAGAGCACTTGTATTATTTATATATGGGTATAACGATTTGTGATGACAATCACGATCCGGGATACAAATATGTCAAAATAAATTTTCAATAATGATACTAGTAATTTTGATGTCGAAGAATAATTACCTTGTTAGAGGGCGCTACTCTGGAAAGGTATACCTGACAGTTCAAGACTGTCAATAACAGACCCGGAAACAAAGACAAAATATAATTTAACATTTAATTTCCATTCAAATACTAACACGTATAATATATATTCGATAAATTCTGCAATAATTCTATATATAGATTTCCACTATTCTTGCTCCGAATCTGTGAAACAATAGAAATAACAGTTTATAATGTATGCGCAGATATTAAGCACCAAATAAAATATTTCACAAATATTTTGCATCGGGATTCATTATATATTTGCGGAATATTTGCGTTTCCATTGAGAATCGACGCATTTAAAGCGGGGGAGTCTTCACCTGCGCATGCGTCAGATGGCCATCGCGTATCATTGTTTACAAACAAACGTCTATCCACGAGCCTTTGCGTTTTTAGCGCGTATTATCGTCGCCTGGGACTCAATTCCCCCGCGTGCACAGTTGACGACCCTCCCGCTTTAAAACAATATCTTGGTTGTTGTACCACATAGCAACGCACATAAAGCAAAATACTAGAATACACACTGGCTGAACAGAATATAAGGTGTAGTCGTGGGGTGATGGCTGATAAATAGAACTTTGAAGTTGAAAGACTACAATGTCGAAACTGCAATGCACCATGTAGCAAATTCTTTAATGAAAATCACCCTGACCATAGTTTAGTATAGTTACTTCCGCGATATTCACGTATCAACGTCATCAACACGTATGGTGTAAGCCATACTTGAATCACGTGATGGCAATGGTTCATCAACATTGGTTTCAAGAAACTATGCCATACATCAGTTAATTTGTGTTTGAACTGTTCACGAATAATGAAGTATAAAATTAAATTAGAAAAAAAAAAACGCCACTGTATACTCGCTCTTTCGATTAAAATACACTTGACTGGCTTTGACACCAAGCTTTATTTTAGTAATTGTCCATATAAAAAAATATAAAAGTAGTTAATCTTTCATTTACTTCTTAAAATTGTGTACGAGAAACTTGAAATTAGATCCGGGCGTTCATATTACTCGGAAGTTCACACCACTTATAGTAGTTTTCAAGAATGTCAACTCAGCCCAAATTTGTTTAGAAATCATGATAACCCCTTTGTGCCCTTTCCAGAATACATTTTTGCATAACACTACTTTTATTTTGATTTACAGCACATTGATCGTACAACAATCATTAATCATATATGTATCACGGAACCAGTCGTGTAATATTGGCGAGTTTGTGATTTGGGTCCACCGTACTATTAATTTCCAATAATTTTTAAAATTGCAATCAAATTCTTACCATTCGCAATAATTTCTTGTATCCAGGCATGCGCAGAAGTGACACGCGAGAAGCCTGATGAATATTTCGAGTCGCCACATCCACAATACATCCATGAACTAATTCCTGCCAGGTACCAGCGACCGTCAATTTTGTTACAAACTAATGGTCCCCCAGAATCTCCCTGTAAATAAACGTATAATGCATCATTGAACTTTGACCGAAGGTTACACACGATTAATACTGCATATATCGGCATGTACGAGACTACGCTGCATAGTGAGAAGCATACGGTGTAATTCAATGACAAATGAGTTGGAAAATTTGTATAGCTTTACAAAATCCAAACCGAACAATTTGTACAAATAAAAATTCCTGTCTAAATATTGTGTTTGTCGTGCCTATCCGTTCGGGCGGGGTAGTTATTTGGTCATTACTTTTAAGTATCGCAAAAGAATGTACATCATGGAACATGATGATGCTTGCATGCATAGTATCTGCCTATTTTTATACACAATTGTCCCGAAAATAATTCCATTGTTAAACTTACAAAGCATATTCCTGTGCAGTTACCAGTATTCCCAGCACACATCATTGAGTACGCTGTTGCCTCGCTGGTATATTTATGCACAAAGTATTCATAACAGTCGTTTGCATCCAAAATGGTCAGTTGTACTTCCTGCAGAATCTGTGATATTTCAGCTGCAATAGAAACATACCACGTACTAAAGTTCTTGTAATTTTAAAATTTAAAATGTGCACAAATATATTCGGAAACAAAGAAATGATAATTTTTAGTTAAATACGAGTAAATACTTAATATTACGACTACAACGTCCCAAGAACACGGCACATAACATTTCGAAATGATCTTGATTTATTGTAAAATTGTCATTATAGCCAATTTGACTCAATGCACGAATTGTAAACATCTTTTCAAATCTGTTCAATACTAGGACATATGCACAATATATGTTGGCCCAGATTAAATTTCAAAGAATTCAGTTACATTTGTTTAACATTGTTTTGCAATATGTGGACAAGATATCAAATTTGGCTGAAGTGCTGAAAAAAGCGATTTAAATGAATGTTAATAATAGTCTAAATCATCGGGGAATGTAATCACGTAATTAGAACGCTCTCTAATTCACCCGGTGATAGATAACGCACATCGATTGTGAACAAGTTTTGTCATTTTAACAAAAATAGGTACTATCCATTCAGCTACAGGACAAGAAAATGTCACGTCATTTTGCGATGAATCTACCATGCTGTATTACATAAATGCAATATCATAAGTAATTGATTATTCTAAAAAGTAATTAGGGTTATTCACATAATCTGATTGTGAATTAACTAAAAGGTCCACAACATTTTGGTCAGTATATACGTCACCGAAAAAAAAAAAGTACCAAACAAACTACCAAAAATCGTCGAAAAGTGTAAAAGGAAAAAGTACGAATATACTTAATAATTAAAAAGTCATTATAGTGAAGATGCAGCCCATCAATTTGTTTTTGCATTTTTATATGTAGAAAATCTTAGTCTCACTTATGTAATTTCGGATCTCTAGCACAAATAGAACATTAAAAACACTCAAATAACTTTTTTCAAATGAAAAGTATAATTCGGCCGTGAAAATATGTTAGATTCTCTGTATATGAGAGAGTTGTAGCAACTATACTCAAAATGCACTGGGTGAACGATTAAGCAAATTTCAATCAATCCCCCAACGTAATAATTACAATACATTGAAACTAACTTACCATTGTACTCAAAACTTCCCCATCCCGAGATAACACATTCCCTCCCAACAGGGTCGGAGAAAGTCATTTTGCATAACGCATATCGGTCATACGTAACAACTAAACGGAATAGGCACATCTAAATACAACAATGCTAAGTCCCAATTATAGGTCTTCGAATCGTATCACGAGAGTAGCCTTGTGGTTCTAAATCTATCACAGAGAGTACACCCATCTTAACGTGCAAATCTTCCGGCTCAGATAAGGTATCGTTCCTGAAATCAAATGATTATCAAAACAAACCATGTAAATGCCTTTGGCCTCGTTCGTTAACAAAATGCTGACAAAAACTATGGCATCGAGAGCTGTAATTGCACTCCAACTCGTGCGATAGAAATATCGGTGCTTTTTTTAATATGTAATATTTTGTAAAATTAGTAGTGTTAGGTAACAAGAAATCGACAATGATTCTGGCCATTCCTTAATCTGTTAAATACATTTGATCATTAACGTGTTGCCCGAGCAGTCCCGGTCACCTGCACATGGTGGATCTCATAAGCCCAGCCGTAATCCAAAAAATACTATTATTGTATCTCGGCCTAGCAGTTTGCCTCAACTTTACGAAGTAATAGTAAATAGTCGTATTGCATCGTATGTAGTGTCATTCTGATTTGTTCACGTTTTGCACATTGAATTGTGTAGACATTCGAATAAAGTGACATGTACATGCAAGTATCTGCAAATACAATTTATGAAGTTTTATATTACTGTCAACCACTGAGTTATCAATGATCTATAGAATATAACGAATACAACTTACTCCTGTACTACACAGTCTGCGGCTGTCAGAATCCAGTGTTCATCAATGATTCCACCACCACAGAAATGTGTGTTGTTCTTGTATGTAATGAACAAAGCCACTTGCCACGGCCAACTACCCAATTCTGCATCCGTGCCTCCCACGATGCGACCTGCACCAAGGGGCTCTGTACCACAACCTACAACTACGACAGCAATTGTGTGTTTGTTTAATACATTGGCAATCGCTGGCTTTTATCATTTTTAAAGTTTCGCCTAAATAATGCAAGAGCTCCCCCCTCATTTTCCCTCAGATTTTAATGAATCAGAAAACTCATTAATTTAGACTGATAGCATCTGTTCTGTTAATTCCTAACAGCCCATTAAGAATTGTACCTGCTGGAATTTCACAAAGAAACTGGTGACGTTTTGAGCATTTCGTGAATGACCATTTGAACTGTGTTCTTCTTTGAAATGACCTACAAGAATGAGATACAAGTCAAGTCACGACCGATAACAATGGTAACAAGTAAGATTCTTTCTATTTAGTTAGTGTATGACAAACAATCGAGACATTTTCATTGATAATGCCAGATTATATTCAAGTTGTTTACATTAATATATTTTACTGAAGAGCTGATTTTAAAGAATAACTTCTGGTTAGTTTGTTGTTAATTCACAATAAGGCGGATATCACAAAGCAGACTTGAAAAGTAAATATTCTATTTATACAGATGCAAAACCTGATTCGAAGATATGTAGAATTATATTCCATTAAAAAACTCACTTCATAAAAACGCAATCGTTATTTTTACTATTTCTTGATCGCCCTAAAATCCAGTCATCTGTGAATTCCGCTTCTGAATAGTCAGACCATCGGATACTTTACTCTTTCTCAATATCGTTGAGACCAATCCAAAATGGTCCTATACTGTTACCATGGTTACTTAACACATCTTCATAGATCACATTTGTATATTCGTCTGACGTCTGGGCCAGCTTTCCTCCTCGATTTGAACAGAACTTTTGCGCAGCGTGCCAAGATTTCTTAACAGTCACAACCAAAATGTTAAACTGGCCAACTTCAAGTAACTGGAAATCTTTAAATTATATATTAAAGGATAATCGAACCATCTGAAGTGGGGGAAGGGTGTCAAAGATAAATGCGTACAGATTTTGTAGTGTGAACAACGTCTTGTTTTGATGCAGCAATTGTGTAAAACAAACTAACAGTCACAAACATGACAATATTTTCAGATGACTACAACCTCTTCCGCAATTATTTTCCTCTCATTTAGAATGTCCGATAATGTTTCTTCAATATATTTTATCACAGCGTCTTTCTTGCAGTATTATTTGACAAAAACAATTTGATGGTTGTGGCTTATTTGAAAAATAAACTAGCAAGTATCATTAGGTTGTATCATCTGTTGGAATATAAAGCAAATATAACAAATACCTTTATTTGTATTTCCGGCCGTAGTACCCTGAGAATAAACGAGTTCTATTGGAGCTATTAAGTTTGATGCACATGTTTCCCGGGTAGATTCTTTTCCTGATTAGTCTACTCATGAAAAACATTCTAAAACGTCTGCAATTACCAAAAGTTTAACAATAAAGGGAATACATTGAGAATATAATACAAGTGTATCTTATCTGATGAACATGCCTGCACTTGAGTGTCGAATGACAGAAAATTATAAGAATAAGTTGGCGTTGAATATTCACCAACATGACTATTGAAAATTGACCCATACCGTCATTCGTCGATATGTAACTAACTTCCTCGGTGACGTAGCACGTTACACAATATGCAAGAAAGTTTCTCATTTATTCAAGTGGCAAGATTGTTGAATCTGTTCTATCTACGGAGTTTACTCCTAAAACAATATTTAGGTGGAGTTGGGGCTTAAAATACAGAATTTTGACTCATCCATATGTATAATGAAATAAAAAATAATAAAGGTTTGGAAACTCATGCCAAATCGAGCTCATGAAATTTGCCAGTTGTTCATTAAAAAAACAATTTCAATACTACATTTTTTATTGTTTTAATCAACTGTGCAATACCCGAAATTCGTTCCATTAATTTCTCGTTGACTCGTATTCAAAGAACGCAAAGGATAACTAGCTGTTTCAATGTTCATAGATATGATCAATGCAATATAATACGAACATCTGAGGTTATTTAAAGCGCGGTGGTCGTCGCGTAGCGCGTGTTCGAATTTCATGTAAATAAACAATGTATTTTACACGCGTTGTATACGTCGCTATGAGTCCCATATCGAACAGGACGCGACACGACGACTGCCGCCCTTTAAGCATAATGTATTGTTATTCGCACCAATGCGTATGTAAACACTAACAGAGCAAATACGAATTGGTTCATGGGCAGACATGTATATACTCCTCAAACTTGAAAACTTGCCGACACTTGCAATGTCCACGTCTTTTATTTCAAATTATTTTCAGGGATCATATACTACATACAACTTCTGTGAACTGAATAAATTATTAATACGATGTATATTTTATTTGCTTCTTTAGTTTTTTCTCACGGTTTCACATACTTAAATGTTGGTAGTGTCCTTTCGATTAACAAATCAAACTGAGTTTGGATTGAATTATGATAATTCCAATAGTATGAAATACATAATCTAAATATTAAATATCTAGTGAATATGAACATAAACGAGGCTGCGTTTATCACACTGCATATATAAATTAAGTAAATTCTAGGGTATATATATTTATATGTTGTACATTTTTAATAATACATGTACTTATCTGCAGGTTCCTTGTAGAATTATATAACAGGTGAGCTTTGTGTCGGCAAGAAACTCACTTGCATATTGAGGAAATTACTAAGTCGGCGCGGCAAATCGATGGTTACTTACCGACGAATTTACGCAACGAATACACCCACCCTAGCCTTTTAACAATTGTCCACTTAATCAACCAATATGTTTTATGAAAGTATTTACACTTTCTCTTAGTTAAAGTAGTGCCATAATAATTAGCTATTGTTAGCGAAAGGAGAAGAACATCATAGGAGTGCCAGTAAGAACCCGATATACTGACGACTGGAAACTACACAAATAATTTTGAAAAAGCGTCGCTTTGCTTTATTTTCAGAAATTTATTAAGATCTACTTACGCATGTCAATATGCAGGCGAGGACGATGGCTGTAATAATCATTCTCGTGGAAACAGGAACGGAATAACCACGCCGTGCAGTCTGCGCGTGATCTGCAGAAACTAAATTCGCGATGGGTCAGACATCTGTTTGCTGATTGGACAGAATCGGATTCTACATTACACCAGCATAGTTGGACAATGACGTATTGGTACCACCTGCTACATATGCGTATAATGGAATGCATTTGTTGGAAATTAGAAAAAAAAAAATATTTTCTATTTTTATTTATATTTTCTACACAAATAGGCATTTTCTTTTGAATAGTGTTTACAAAAATTCGTCACAGATTTTCTTAACACAACTCGCAGTAGATTCGCCGACGTTCCTCGTAGTATAACACCAGATCAGATGTTGAGCTTTTTCATTAATTCCGTACCACAGACCGCAATGGAGGAATAGAGTTGTTATGTCTATATTATATTATATTATTTCACAAATGAATGTGATAGACGTGATATGCAAAACACAGTATTCCCAAACTGACATACTGGAAGTTTGTGCTCAAAATACTCGTATAGCGCTAGGACGAGTAACTAAAATGCTCATTACGATGTATAGACATGTCATATCAGTCGCCATTGTCCGAATCGTACGGTTTGTTAGTGCCGAATCCGCCAACCCGTGCGGGAAAGGTCAGCCCCCGGGTAAACGCCTATTTTATGTTAAACAAAGGAAAGATATCCAATCAGACGCCGTGTAACATTGCGCGTTGAGTTAAAGAACACAATATCTTGAATAGCGACGTGTGGCACGATTACTTCCAAATTGTTCTAGTAACCGTGCGTGTAGAGTGTTTAGGTTGAGTGCCAACCCCCCCCCAAAATGGCGCGCATTTTTCACCAAGTTTTCCACAATTTGTGATGCCAACGTTGCATACTTCGTCAGCAAAGTGACATATTTATGGACCATGTTTTAACAAAGTAATGAAACTGTCAATTCTGAAAGAAAATCTCAGAAACTCTACTCGACTGATCATTCGAGATTTGAACTGTTTGCACAATTTTTGTGATTTGCCGCTCCCTGTCCTCGTTGAAACAAACTCATATTTGTCAGCTCGTAATGCCTCAATTGCATGCTTAGGGTGATCGGTGAGGCTTTTTATTATGAAGAACTGCATCATCTGTTCTGCCTAGGTCGTCATTTAAAAAAACCGCTTTACTGTACAGTATTTTGATACAAAAGAGCTGATCATTGGCTGTTTATTTTTGTCTTTGTCGTTAAGGACGCCTATTAAATACACACTGTAGTGGTTCAATCTGCCAACAATTAGTTTGGAGGGGTGACCCGAAACGAACGTTCCATTGGCTGGCGAAAATGATAGGTCTCATAGAAACATAGTACGTGACACTGGTATAATTAAAAGTAACAACTGGCTAAAATAGTGGGATATCAAGGCTGTGTCTCCTACGTACATTCACGGTTTCTCGTAACCGTGGTATATTTTGCACTGAGAATTGTGGCCATTTCATCTAAAAAAAACATAGGTGTGCTTGATTAATCTATTAAATATCAGGTTGGTAAATTTCAATAAAACTTGGATTTCACGTTGAGAAAACACTGCACGAGGGTTAATAGGATTAGTGTTTTATTTTTCCAGTACGCTATACAGTGATTTCCGTGAAGGTGAAATAATACAACAAGATAATCGAATGTATGGTGGTAGTAACTGTAGCACTTTATTCAGGTGAATGCATCAGATATACAAAGTATAAAGTTCAATGTTTGTCTCTGGGCGTTCGTCACAATGGTGCCCACAATAAGTAAATGCGAATGTTAGAACTTCATGACTTACAAAGGATGGCTGAATATTCGTTGCGTTATGAGAGGGGGCCAATTTGAAACCTGCGCCTCACGTATTCTGTTAATGTATGTCATATAATAGAATGCATGATTTTTTTCGTTTCCTGTTTTAGAGGGCGTTTTGTTGCTACAAATTAACCTTTAACACGTGTATTCGAAAGTATTATTTAATAAACGTCAAATGCTGAACTTATCTCCTGTTGTGGTATAAATCTTAATCGTCATTCAAACATACTTTCGAAGTTTGGTTTCGGAGGTGGAAGTTTACTTACCCCCCCATACAGTTGACCACTTACTATTAAACTCGCGGTCATTGTTTGCAAGAGGGAGCCGAGTTTTGTGGCATTTGGGATCTTTTGGAAGCAACGATGTTAGAGAGTCGTGTCTCAAGGCTACATGCATGAATATACATACAAGTACGACATTGAAATAAAGAATCTCTGGTATCCACGAAATAGTTTTTGAGGAATAGCATTAAATAAGGCATCGTCATCATTACTATTGCAATTTGCAGCTCATGGATGCTACAATGATTTTCTTGTAAAATTTTTTTTTCTGGAGAACGAATTATGATGCCCTTAAAATCTTACATAATGTATTTACAATTTGCCATGTTAGTGATATTTCATTTTAGTAGGACAATTGTATTGGGTCTGATCTTTTCTCGAAAAGGTGTTTGATGGTCGTTTTTAAGTAGTATAAGGGTCATGAATAAAAGGAGCAGGGTACATTTTACAAAAAAATACTAAGTTGTATAAATCAGCAAACTTTTCAATTCCAAGTAATAAAATTATTGATAGCAGTCTAAATTACTAGTTGCTTTAACTATAAAGTTTTACATAGCCTCAGTTATAATTAGTTGGCTTACTTATTTGTACATTTTCAATATGCCCGCCAAATTGCAAAAAAAAACTATAATTCTCATACGATTAACATTGTGATAGTTGGGGTAAATATTATGGGTCATGTGACCATATATTTATCAAACATTGAATGTTTCGACTAATATTGGGGTTGCTGAACAAAACTAGCTGTTGTACGTTTCACCAAAAGACGGGATAATCCGAATTTCCCATAAATCCAAGAGGGCCGCCAATTCCGTTGTCGCCATTGGACATTAGATTCTGACCATTTTCTAGTATATTGACAAATTTTCGATTTTGATCCAGAATTAGTTGGGGGGGGGGGCAAGTGGGTTCATTTTCGTCACATGATCAAATGATTTATTCTGGCAGGTAATCATCGATGTGCGTTCCAGTATTCACAATACAGTGGTTGAACAAGTGTTCCATTCTAATGTACCATTTACCTCATTTTTAATAAATCTAATAATTTTTTGTTTTAATACACAAAACTGTCGATACCTATATTTAAAACATGCTTATACTGATCACGTTCAAATTATACACATTCACACCATCTTGGTGTAAGTTTTGCGATCAAATCTTAAAGGTGTTCAATTGGCGGTCATTTCACCAATAATTTTGAAACTAGATCTGAGTTCATCCATACTTTAACATTAGGGGGACGATACATGCATTGTTTTATTGGATGCGAATTTCAAGCCATATGTCTAGATTAAATGCACTCGCATATCACACAGGATCCTTGGCAAAAAAAAAAAACACACAAAAAAAAACACCCAATCTACAAAATGTGTGCCAAATTATTTTGTCACTAATTAATCAGTTTAGACGACAGACCAGACTACTGTCTGCCTCACAAACACACATTTGGTGGTCAATATTTGTAATTATTTATTGTTTCTTAATTTACAATGAATGTTACAATGAATGTTACAATGAATACGTGACAATGGAACGTAAAGTTTATTGCAGAGTTATCTGTACAGCATTATATGTTCAATTCATCGTCCAATATTTGCATCACAATAAACTTCAGATACCTGGAAATAAAAGATAACAGTTTGTAAAAGTTACAGCTCTCAATATCATTGACACAAAACAGAGTGTTAAGTCACGTTTGCGCATTCTAAGTTACTTCGTCTATACACGTCTATTGATCAATGTACCGAATTGTTTTATCAGGATTGTTACCTGATTATGTTTTACGTTGTGAGATGGTGTCTTTAATCTACTCCTGGGCAGCAGTAACACGGGCAAAGACTGAAGCGAATTCAGGATTACCGCATTCCCCCGGCACCCAAGACGTCACACCTGCCAAATACCATCGTATGTCAGCCTTTCTACATACCAACGGACCACCCCCATCTCCCTGCATATGGAAATAATCACATTATGTACATTTGATTAAAACGTAGACCACTCGTTGTAATGACTACATTAGTCGTCGTTTTATATGTATTCAATAAAAGATATCATGTAGATGAAATTTGTGTGGTTAAACACGTAGTTTCCGTCCTTCAGTTGGTCAGAATTTCATAATTAAAGTAAATTAAATTAAAACAATTGCTCAGTTTGATTTGAAATGTTCACACTAAATACGAGGCGCGTTTATCGACAAATGAGCATCCAGGTAATTTACATGATTATCATTCTCGCATAATGACGTAAGAAGTGTTAAATACTTGAGTAGGCTTGATTAGGCCGTGAACATTAAAATGGTATACGATTCAACTGATGTACTACGACAAATTGTACTGTACCGAATTCCATTTCATTGATATAAATACATGTATATGGCTACCAAACTATTTTTGCACAAAACAAGGTAAAATATCTAGAAGTATGTTGTTACGTTAGATGACAAAATCGTATGTAGTTGATAAAAGATGGGTACTTGTAAGGAAATTTGGAAATACTACTTCAAGGTAGGTTCTATGGAAACTGTTACGAAAAACATCGCTCTGTTATTTTCAACATTTCTCCTTCTGGGTAGAACCGAAAACAAAACTTGTTTCCAAGTAAATAATGATGCGACATTTGTGATAAATACCTCGCCCGTAAATATTACGATGTGTGTCACAAATGAACTTGAGGTGACTAACGAAACACGGTCCTTCCACATCTTGGTTAATACACAGCATAGAGTCAGTTACATTAATACTATCTTGGCTGTATTCGTCAATACATTACTGAGTATCCATGAGCTCCACGTTTGCTTGCTGCAATATGTTCGGGTGTTCTTCTGTAATATTGAACGTTACAAGATGAGTTTACACGAGTGGGTTACGCCTTTTATGTTTAGACATTGAAACGACAAAGAACATGAACGCTTGGATACGGGCGTTATCA